GAGGAACTCTGCAGCAGGGTGCCTGAAGAAGCCTGGTTGAAGCTGGAACGACGTCACTCTGTTGGAGTGACTTAGAGGACTCTGTACATGATCAGTTCTTGTGGTCTTCCCTGAGCAGCTGCTCTTGGTCACTATGACGCAGGATACCAGCCTTGGTGGACCTTTACTCTGATCTAGTATAGTGGGTCAAAATATTTTCATGAGTCTAAGACTTATGAGGCAAGCCTCATTTTTCCACCGTATCTGCAAACCCTGCTGTCCTTAGTATTGCCTAACCTATTTCCCACCTGTATTAATAAAAAAAGAAGTACCCTCCATTAACAGGAAGCCTGGCAGGAGCTGGAGGCGTTCATAGGACTAGGCTTCTGCTGACATCCTGTTTTTGCTGCTTCTGGTTTTCCAAGTGTTCTCCTCTTATCACTGGGTAGTGCATACTGGAAATGATCAATCAAGGCTTGTGCACAGAATCTTTTCATGCTAAGAAGTGTAAAATCAATTTGTGTTCAAAGGAGTAAACAGTAGTATGAGCTTCATCTCCCCAGAGTCAAAAAGGGTTCCTTGATAAAGGATATGACAATTGAAGCTGAGCTGTTGATATATAAGCACAGAGGTGCTCATATGCAAGTAATGAGAGTGGGTTCCTGTAATCATTTCACATGCTACATTTATCTTTCCAATAAGACAAAGACAGGAAAAAGAGATTACTTGTTGAATGCCAGTTGTGTATCAATAAAGCCAGAGGGATTGTTCACGAATAGTTTATCCAGATGAAAATATAGTTGGTCAGTTCTGGCAAAGAGATTATTCATTACATCTTTCTGCTCCCCAACATCTGAATTCTCAGGACTATTCTTCCAATAAGTCTATTGGAAGATTTTGTTGTTAGTATCTCAGAGAAATGCCCACTGTCTGATGTAAATTACAGGGAAAGGGGACTTTTCATGATATTGTTGTGCCACAAAACCAAAATCTGATCCCACGCGGGTTATAAATTGTCTGGAAGGTAAGAGTGGTCAGGGAATTGCTGAATGAATAAATGGAAGGTTAGATCAACACCACTCATCAGATATTGTAACTATTCACCCAATGTCATTTGATCTGCGTAACAGTAAAGTTACTATTCCCTCATTCTTATATTTCTACCCTCTTTTCCTCTTTTTAAAGTTTAACACTGAGCCATCCAAGCCATACATTAAACCTTTGGTTCCACATCATTTAAGTTCTATTCCTTCTCTCATGAGACTGAAATGTGAAGACAGCCTTATAATACTAGCTTTTTGTAGGTGGAATATTTTGACCATCTGACCTTTTTTTTTTTTTTTTTTTTTGCCTGGAAGCAGTATTTGAAAGTAAACATGAACCTTTTTGATGCAAAAGAGGTTTGCCAGGTTAAAATGAAGTTGGAAGATAAGTTCAGTGTACCATGTAATTGCTGTGAAATCTTTTTGTTTTGATTGAAGTTACATTACCTTAGGACTTATGTCTGCAGCTTATGTAATATTAACTGTTCTTCAATCCAAAGTTCATGAATACACTGCAGAATGAGAGAGGAGCTCGTGACGTGAGCTGCAAATACTTATAGAAATGAAATTCCTGGAGTCTGTCCTTTCTGCTAAGTCTGAACATGTTGTTCACAAAGGAAGAAGGGCACTGAAAGCATGTGCAAATGAAAGCTTCTCCTTCTTTTTAGAATCTGATACTAAGGAAAGTTGGAAAAAAAGAGAGGGTGTTAAGAAGCACATAACAGTACCTCAACTACTTGATTTTTATTAGATTAGAAAAGTAGTAGTATGGGATGTCCAATCTTGATTAAACTACTGGCGGAATGTGCCATTTTATTAATGGCAATTCTTGTACTGGTACTTAGTACTTAGGTGATGGATATTGTGTTTGCTGTGTTTCACTCTGCCTTGATGAATCTATGCTTGGATCCCATGATGTGCCATGTAGGCCTGCTTGTACTTGTTAGCTGAATGCAAGTATTTATGGACAATTAACTTGCAGTTTCTGATTCACGCTTTGAAAGGTTGGTAGGTTGTTTTTTCTTTCTTTTTTTTCCCAGGATAGACTAAGTCTCTAATAGAGCTGTGCTTTTCAAGTCGCTTAGAATGTGCAACTATAGCATGAATTTAGAAAAATGGTCTCATTTCTTTAAAATCCATTAATAGTGATGTACTGAAAGACTCTACATTGATCTGCTCTGATATCCGTGTTGTAATAATTATTCTTTTAATGTTTGCATTAATCTAAATGTTTTCCTCTTTGTGCCAGCTCCTACTTGGATCTCCCTATATGACAATCACAGCACTTTGACATCTTGCATTACTTTAATACCAGTGATTCAAAACAAAGCAATGCCAAAGGGAACAAAAGTTCTGTCAAGCCATTAAAATCTTCTTTGCCATTAACAGAATTAAATTGATGCATGAGCATTTAAAGTTATTAGCAAGTGCTGCCAGCAGAAGCTGGTTGTGATTGCATAATATATAGCAAGCTTTATTAAAGTAAAATGGCATGTTTATTATTATTATCATCATTGGTTCTAAAGTAACATAAACTTAAACAGGGCTGTGAATTGGGAGAGCCCTGAGAAACAAGTAAGAACATGCCTTGCCCTGTGTTAATAGTCTGGGGCACAATTAGGGCATCTCTAAACAAAGGAAAACACGCAGCGTCATGGCCAGCCATCAGAACTGGCATGTGCAATGGCTAAATAAAGGGAGGGCTCTGTACCTCCACTGCTCCCAGTCTTCCTATTTCAGCCAGCTCAGCTGGAGTTTGAGCTGCTCCTGTTACTCTGTAAAGAGTTTTTGTAGTTGGTTGTAACTCTGCATTTGTAACTGCAGAGTTATGGGGGGAGGTGTTTGTTTTGTTTTCTCTTATGCCAACGTAACTGACTTTTCCATGAAAAAATTCAAGAGTGTATTAGAGACATATTCCCACTATTAACCAGCACATTGCAGTAATACCCATTTTTGCTAATCTGAAGGGTAATGGGGATAGGTTAACTGGATTCCTCTCCGACTGAGAAGTTGCTTATGAGGTGTGAAAAATACAGATGAGCAAAGAACTTACAGGTATTGAGAGGAAAAAGTGACTGCGCTGAAGACCAGGAGGATGAAGTAAAGGCAATGAAGCATTGGAATAGCAAGTAATGTAATATGAAGGTGGAATCAATGCCTATCGCAGCAAATGGTAACTGTCCATTGGAAATTTTCAACCTAGGTTTGCTAGGTAGCATTTGAGTTGAGTAGAAAATGGGGACAAAGGTTGGTTTGTTTTTCTTAAGTGAAATAATGGAAAATTATGATCTATAGTTTTTGAAGTAGATAAAGTCACTAATATTCCTCCCATGTAGTCATATTCACTTGAGTACCAACTCAAGTATCAGTATCTTTACCAAGATATTGATGAATTGTAGGGAATTCAGAGAACAGCAGTGAAATATGCTAAGAGGTTGGAAAATCTTATTTACCAGGAAAGAAGGTAAAAGTTGAACATACGGCATAGGAGAGGAGGAAAGTGGAGTATAACGCTGTTTAAGTATGAAGGAAAGTAATGAATTACTTAGGGTACTGGGAAGAGCTCTACAAACAGATGCTGAGGTGACACTAAAAGCAAGATTTAAACTAATTATTATAAAAAAGAGCCAAACAAATTAAAACACTACTCCACATTTTATTAAGTGGAGGGTTGGAAGACCCATTTCCCTAGAATTTTTGAATCAGATTAGTCAAAAGATACTAGAAGATACAGGAAAATGCACTGCATTAGCAGGGAATGAACTTGGTGACCTAACAGGTCTTTCTGGTCTTTGACTTTTGTAGCTTTATGGATTTATTCTTGAGGCTTAGTGCTGGTTGAAATATAGGAGGAAAGTGTGGTCAGTGCTTTCGGTCGGGCTCTATAGCAGATTAGGATGACAGGGATTAAATTTAGTCGTGAATGTCCCTTACCAAGTAGTTACCAAGGGCAATAAGGTAGAAGTACTGGGCAGAAAAATCTCTCTGAATATTTATGGGTAAAATACCCATAAATACCAAGCACTTGCCTTCTGTAGGCACCTCCCTGAGTATTCTCTCTTCCTCTTCTGCTGCACCGCTGTAACAAGAACCTGTCATCTGTACCTGCACCTGTGGCAAAACGGTTGTACATATGGGTCAAATCTACCTGTTATTTATTTAGTAGTTCATGGTACTTAGAGTTTTTGTGCTATTTTATATACCTGGGATGAGAAAGTGTGTCAAATGCTGTAATGCGTTTGAACAAGTATATTGTTTGATTAGAAGATGTTAAGGGCGCCAGTGTGTATGTGTGTGTGTTTGTGTGTGTCTGTGTGTGCTTGTGTGCATAGATATAATGCATCTTTCCTAGGACAGGGGGGATAGCTGTCACGCCTCCCAGGATGGATTCGTGTGTGCTGTTCAGTCTTCAGAGGCTACTTAACCTGGAACAGGTCAAAGTGAGGGACAAGAGAATCAGCGACCACCCTTGTCCAACCAGTATTTTGCTACAGTGTGTGTTTTAAGTTTTAAGAGCTGTCTTAGCTGTTAGCGTATTAAGCTGTAGGATAAGATAGTTGATAACCGCTTTCTCCTAACTACTCTGTCCTTAGCTGCAGCAGGCTGTAAGTTAAACCAAACTGCATGCTCTCTCTGAAGGCGGCCGATAGGAATAACAGTGGGATCTTCTTCAATTACAGAAGTTTCAGGCAATTCTAGTGCCAGTTCTCAACTGTGAGGAAATCAGTGTACTTTATTGCTTCAGAAGTACCGTTCCTAGCACAAAGCAGTGCAAAAGAAAAAAAAAAATTCTGACAAAATGAGTCCTGCTGATGATTTATGTTGATCTGAACTGGAAGATTCTGTAGGCAGCAAGCATGGATACAGCAGTCTTCAGATGGAGGCATTTTCTTGTTAGCTCTTCACCTGCGTAGTTGCAGTCACTGAACTTTGCATCCACGGCCTGACTAAACATTTCTTTTTTCTCTTTACGCCCAGGTTACCCTTCCCAATGACTCCAGCTGTGTGGAAGAAATATTACGGGTGAGTAATACCCTTTGCTTTTGTATCTTTTTTTATAATTGTGGTACTGTTATTTCACCTTTGGTGGAGAAGAGTTATAAGGCTGTCTTTAACATTGTAGTTAAATAATAATACATCAGTGGGTCTGTGTTAAAGAGACACAGCCAAGTTTTGGTAGACCCAGGATGCTACTTAATGGATAAGGTCAGTTCTCCTAATACTCCTTGTCTGCCAGCTTATCTCAGTCAGGATTTACAGCCTTTCCTGTTCTTTTTTAACCTCTCAGTCTCTGTAAGCCTCTTCAAGACTCATTTCTTTCCTACCCAGAGGCAGAGTCACCTTAATTCTCCCACGCGCAGACTGACCTTCCTTCTTCTTCCCCAAACTCTAGTTTCTTCACATTCACAGTTGTGCTAAAGACCTACAGATGGTTTTTCTGGGAGCTCTGGCCAGTAGTTGAATACAGAGAGCCAAAGCAGCCATTCAAAACCTCATATGCCTTAATCACAAGAAAAAGATCATATAACAAGAAAAATGGGGAGGGGGTATGGGAGTAGGTACAACACATTTTATAAATGTAAATTTGTCTTACTTTAGGTATAAAATGGGCTTTGTCTGAGAGATGCCAACCTTGGCATCCTCCGTTGGCAGTGAGGTTTGTCTGGGGGTAGGTTTACACCCCACCAGACCTTATCTGGGATTTAGGGTTTTCTACGTTATGCTTTCAGTTTCCCAGTTCTCCAAGCGGCCTCCCTGAGATCACCAGCCAGCCTGCTGCATTCAGGATATGGGGATAAAACTTCAATGGGAATAATGCTTGCCAAGCCCTTTTCACTAGCAGCAAATAGAAGGCTACTGGAAATATTTGTCTGCGTGCCTACCCTTGCATGATGTAACCCAGACCTGATTTCATGTACAACACTCATGCGTCAAACTTGCGCAAACATGGACTGACAGATACTGCTCATAAAACAGAATAGGCTTTGCAGTATTCGTTGCAGTCCTCAGGGAAGCTGTTTGGGTGAAACTTGCTCCTGTTCTGGATACACACATCATTTCTTGGATGATGTTGAAGTCCTTATGTGTTGTCAGCGTTTCTGTAGAAATAAGTTGAACCAGCAGGCAAGCATGCATGTGCAAACCTGCAATAATGGGCGAGTATGTGTTTGTGTGTGCACCCAGTAGCAATGAATGGAAGGAAATAGAATTTAGTTTCAACCTTCAAAGTGAGAAGAGGGTTATTACCTAAAGGACACTAAGGCAGCAAAAGCAAAGAAAATGTTGAAAGGGGCTGCAAAATACTTGGTACCTTTTGAATGTCTTCTTCCCCTGTTTATGTATTTCAATTAGGATCGTTACTATAGTTGGAATGAATGATTTGTTAGCAGGGTAAAGCAGTTGTTTTCAGTAAACACCATCAAAAGGAAATGTGATGTAGCGTATTTCAAGGATCAATCATCCAGGTGACAGTTTTAATGTGGGAACAGTACGTATAAATCACAGGAAGCAGAAATGTCTTTTTCTAATCAAGATGAGGTGGTCCTGTCTCCTAGCTCATGGCTGTAATTTGAGTCAACAGACAGGGGCAGAATTTTCCAGGCTTGTTGCTAAGCCCTGCCAAAATCAGTGCAGGACCTTCCCGCAGCCTTCAGTGAATTTAGGTTAACCGCAGACTCATGGGAGACGCGCTCTGCGGCCGTAGGTAGCGCCTCATCCTGTGAGCAGGCCTGTTAAATTCCAGGTGGTGGGAGCAGCATGAGGATTTGGCCCTTGCACACGGGTACACAGCTGGCACCTGATAACGGGATGTGACTGTGCCACAGCCTCCCTGAGCTGGCCTTGCTGACCCCCGGACCTGTAAGCCCTAGCCACAGGCATGGCCAGGAAGAGCTCTCCAGAGCACAGGGTAGCCCCCATGCCGGACAATGCAAACCTCAGTCCTGGCTGGTGGCCTTCAGTGCCATGGCTTTAGGCTTTCAACGTCATATGGTGCTGAGGCATGCGTGGAAGTTGCAGTACTTGAGTTGTTTGTGTCATATTTATAATGCAGAGTAAGCTAGTGAGATGCATGTTTTGGCTGCATACAGTGTGTCGTGTTCTACTCGATACGCAAAGGAGAGAAAATAAGTGAGAGACCGTGATGCCCGGCAGTGGTCGAAATCCATCTCCTGGGTGCCTATGGGAGTCTTGGGTGGGAGATTCAGGCTGACGTTGGCTTTAGGTGAAAGGGGTGGCCCATGGTTTCAAGCAGTGCCACGTGCTTTGAGAACCTGGATCAGGTTCCCAGCTCTGACAGACACGTTCTAGCTTTTGGAGGCCACTTACTTTGGCTTGAAGAGTGTGGGCTTAGCTCTCTGAAGCCAGTTTTTCCCAACGTAAAAACTGGGCAATAATGTTTTTGTACCTGTCAGGGATCTTGCAGAGATAAACACAAGAAGGATTGCAAGGCACTCGGGTCCTGAAGGTAGGTAGATGGCAGTGTGACAGAGTGCATTTTGTCCAACTGTTTGAGTTTGAAGTAGATGGAGCATGTTTTGCTCACTACTGCCTGAATCTGTCTTGCACAATAGGAATTGTAACAGAAAAGAGTCCAGCCCAAGACATCTGGCTATATTATGCACTTACAGAGGCAGCTTTAAATCCAAAGCAATATGTTTGCACCCACATATACCACTGCAGCTGCTCAGCAAAATTTTGGAAGAATTGGCAATTTCTGGGCAAGAGCTGCAAGCCTCCAGTGCTGCTGAGGTGTGCTCCCAGCAGCGGCAGGAGGCTGGCCCGCTGCCTGCCCGCTCCTGGGCTGCCCTTGAGGGCATCTCATGCCTTTAAATTTCTCTCTCTCTCTCTTTTTTTTTTTTTTAGGTCAGGCAATTAAATGACTCTTAATTCAGTTTCACCCCTCAGAAGGACACAGTAACTCTTCTAGTTTGTTTTTCGCTAGACTTCACAAGTAAGAGGGACCTAAGCTACGGTCTGTAACCTCTGATTTTACAGAGCTCCTTTTTTAAGCTGAACTTGATTAATGGTTTTGTAAATGTAGAGGTTTGCGATTCCTAATCTCTGCCTTGATTTTTTTTTTCTGAAAAAAAAAATTTAATTAAACTTATGTTCAAAACTTTCCAGGCCATTTGGGGGAAAGGTCCTGAGCCTATTCAGACCCGTGAGTCTTCAGAGACAAAATTTCACAGTCCTTCAGATTTCCTGAAACATTTGCTCACTTGTGTCATCTTGTGTAAATGCCTTGAGAGCTGTTCATGATACTACAACCAAAGGTTAATGGCAGACCAGTCTCCTGTTGATTTTGCTTTTTTAACCAGGATGGCTGAGGAGATTGTTAAACATAAATAAAATAATAAAATCGGTGTTTTACAACTCTGGCCAAGCTGTAAAAGTAGTACAGGGGATTTGCATTGTTAGGAGTTGCTAATACCAAATTGAAAGATGGAGGTGAATACACTGATGCTCAGTATGCATTCTTCTGTTCCAAAATGTGACTTACAGCCAACATAATAGCTTTGAAAGTGTGAATAAAATGGAAGACAGGCAATCAGAGAGAGAGAGAAAGTGTGTGTGTGTGTGTGTGTGTGTGTGTGTGTGTAATTCACATTTTATTAATATAGATTTAAATTAAGTTGTCACTTTGTGTGTTATGCCATTGAAAAATGAATTCATTGAAATGTTATGATACAAACTGCAGATGGGGAGGAAGAACTGACATTTTAAAATAATATTCTGAAGCTGACACTTGTGCCACTTATTTCAGTGCCTTATATCAGTGTGCCTTGCTGTCATTGCATATTATTTGAAGGCGTTGTGCAGAACCAAGCCTGGGGGGCTGGGGGGTAGGTATGGCCCAGTCAGTGAGTGTGAGCTAGCAGCGATCATTTTTCTGCTTATAGAGAGCATGGAAGGGATCTTCCTTAGCATTTGTTTTCTCCCCTTGAAAATTTTTCGGGCTCCTCAGGGATCTCTGGCTATTCTCTTGAAGGTAGTCATTTTGACTGCCACTGAAAAACAGCCGCTTCTAGGTAAACAGGCAATAAGCACACAACATTACACAGGGAAGAAAACAAATTTGACTTAAATAAATTTTCTAGAGGAATTGTAGTTTAAGTTGAAACTTTGGGTTAGGTGTTCAAGTAATGGAGTAGACATAATCCCTCAGGTGCCCAGTTCCAGTCTGTCTACATAAAACTTTGGTGTCTGTGTTGCTAAATAGCTGGGTAGAAACTTCTGCCTAAAAATCTGTCCCTGTTTACAGGAACAAAAGAATTCCTCTAGGTGTATATTCACTGTAGTAAAGCATCAAATAACTAGATGGACTTTTGATATTATATGGACAGCTGTGATATTAATTAAAAGCTTTCTAGTCTGGAAGCAAAGCAAATCCTAAATATAATTTAGTTTGTAATTAGTATAAATATGACTAGAGTTAAGTGAGCGAAGTCTATAATTTGTATGGTTTTCTGTTCTTCTGATGATTAGCTTATATCTAATGACATTGGAGAATATGTAAATTGATCAGCAGGTGAAAATGCCCTTGACTGGGTAAATTATGTGTAGTATTGCCTTCCTCATGACAATTGAAAGCACTAATGGATTTAATATGTATCGTCCGTAGCTGAGGTGAGCTGTTCATAGAGCAAAATTAGACTGTAACAGATATAGCCTGTTATTTGCCCCTAAGTAATTGTTTTCTCTTCTAAAATACAAACCAACATTGAAGAACGATGCTAAATCTAATTATAATAATTGTAATTTGAAAAATACAGGTACGCTGTCCAGTGTGGTTACAAATGCACTTAGTAGCTGACAAGCAGTTTAAATATTTTCATGTGGAATCTGGGGGGTTTGCTGGGGAGGACATGATGTGAATTTGAAATGATTATCCAGACGTCAATGGAGAAGTGAATAACGAGCTGACTGGCCTAGTAAATCATGTGAACCTGTCAAATGTGGGAACACGTTGGGGAGGAGATGATGTCAAGTAACAGTAACTTAGCAACCTGGCATTTAGCTGT